ATTTCAATTTAATTCTCAAATAAGAAATATAATTTTGCCTTTTAAAACTTCCATATATTTTAAATTAAATCTTTATTTATTTTTTAAGTAGAAAAATTTTTAAGGTTTAATTATTTTTGGCTATTTTTATTTAATTAATTTTCTCTCTCCAAAAATTTTTTTTCAAAAAAGGAAAATTAAAACAAACATTTCTTTCATCAACACTCTCCTACAGTATCTTCTGGGAAATAAAAAATCGGAAATGAAAGGCTTAATTTTTAAGGATAAAATTAAGAAGGTCATCAATTGAATAAAAAATCCTGTGAAGATTTTTAGAAGATTTTTAGAAAGAATTTAGTCGAATAAATTATTCAAAATATTTTTCTTTCTTTTCATTGCCCCGATTGTTTTTCAACCCAAAACAACAATATAAACAAAAATACAAAATGTTGGCCTTTAACCATACGGCACATTTTATTGAATTGTTTTATTTTTTGGAGGGGACTCACAAACGTAAATTACCGGCAAAATGTGTTTGGAAAAGCAGAAAGGAAAGGGTATTTTTAATGAAATATGGCATAAATAGGAGAATTTCTCGCTGAATTAAAAAAGTATTTTTGGATGGCATTTAAATTCCTTTCTTTAAATTTTATCATTAATTAAGCTTTATGTGTTAAAATAGAATTTGAATCTCTTCTCCTCGGTTTGAGCCTTTCCCAGTCGTTATTCTGGCCAAACTTAAATCGGAAACTCGTGGAGATTTTTTTGTACACTAATTATTTTCTCTAATTGAGCGGCCGTATCCAGTTGAACGGCCGTCTCCAATAGATCGGCCCTTTAAGAGGGGATTGAAAAATAGAGGGCCGTCAATTAGAGAAAATACGGTGTATAACCAAGTTTAGCTACTCAAAAAGCCTTTACTTTAAGTCTCTTTTTATTCGAGATTTTCTAATAAATGACTAAAAATTTGTAAACATAACTGAATAGGTATTTGCTTTATTAGCTTATAAAATATTTTACTCATTTTATTTTTCCTAAATTTTCAGCTGCCCTTTTTCTTCTCTCAAAATTAAATAGTGTGTATTTTTCAATAGCTAATAATTTTTATTTAAGCCTAGCACATTGTTTCTTAGAAGTTTTTGTATCTATTATTCAACACCTTGTCAACTCCTCTATTTTTGACTGATTTGATAAGGTGACCCATCCTTTTTCTATTTTTGAAATTAAATTTCTAATCGGGAATCTTTCCTCCACATCCTTTCCACTAAGTAATATCCCTGTTTCAGATTTCAAAAATAATAAAGAGATCCAGTCGAACCTCATTTTTAGATACTCCGCAGATTAGCTAAGCTTAACTCTCTATCCCCGCGGTAGCATCCCTGTTTCAGATTTTAAAAAATTAAAAATCAAGTCGATCCTCATTTTCAGACACTCTCCAGATTAGTTAAATGATCCCTCTATTTAAGTTACCCCTCATTAAAGGCATTTTTAAAGTGCCACTTTAAGGTGCCACTCATTAAGGCCACTCATTAAAGGATCTTGTTCAGACTATAAGGGTTATCTGAAAAATGAGGTTCTACTTTAGAAACTTAAGAATGACTCCAGAAACAGCTTGCTTAATTCAAAAAGGCAAAAATGAGGAAATTAATGAAATTAAAAATCTACCAACTAATAATTACTGCATTAAATGCCAAAAACAAATAAATAATAATTTAAAACAACAAAACAATAATTGTTTTATTAAAAATATTTTTTGTTTTATTTTAATTATTTTCTTTATTATTTTAATTTTAATTATTTTTATTTTACCTATTATTGAAAGAAAAAATAAAAATTATTTTTTGACAAATATTAATGGAAATTGTTTGTGTTTGGAAAAGAATAGTAAATTAAATAATGGAAAATTTAAAAATCGAGAGAAACGCCAAAGTTTTGTAAGTAAATTCAATTTTTAATTTGGGTGGCCATTGATGAGTAATGTTAGGATCCGGTATCCGAACCGAATATTTCCGCATATTTGGCCTTGTTTCGGATGCGGATATCCGGATCTCCCTACCTAATTGCCGTGAGATGCTCCATTTTTGGGTACCTAATTTTGGCACTCGATTTTAGCAGCTCCGTGTAAGGTAAAGTCAGAATGTATAGTTAAACTTCGCTATAAGATAAACACTTTTGGCCAAAAAATTCTACCTTTAATGAAGTGTATCTTAAATGGGAGTATCGCTCAAACGGCACCGCCACTTCGGCGGGTAATCTAATTTCATCAAACGTATCTTAATTTGAGGGTTCGCAAGTGGCTTATTTTACAATAAATTCCGTCAGTATTGAACATTATAATAGAATTAAGTCTTAATTAGGGGACTTGATATGTAGTATGTCTGCAAATGTCAGCCCGCAAATTTTTGGACTGATGAAACTACAACCATATCTTTTGTTAAAAAATTACCTAAAATTGATAAGATTTATTTTTATTTTTTCAATTTTAGTTTGAAATGCCTGTTGAGTACAAAACGATAAATAATGAGGAAATTAAATCAAATAGATTGAATAATAATGAAGAACAATTGGAGGATTTAAATGAGCGGAAAACAGATGACTTATCTCCACTTTTTGTTCCTCTCTACGCCCAAATTCCTGTATTAATTAAATTTCATTTTATAATTTTTAAATTTTATAATAAAGGATAGTAATAGTCGGATTAAGGATAGTAATAGTCGGACTTCATTTATGAATATTCCCCTACACGCTCACTTATATTGTAGTGAAATTTGGTTGGCCAGTAGGTTTAAAACTCAAGTAGAGTTCTTTTTTTAGAACGCAGGCGAAAATTTTAGGAATTTTGGAAGGCCAAGTAGCTAGATTTCCTGCCTTTATGGAAAAAATTTCCGTGGAAAATGTCGGGTTTCGGATTGGATTTTCAAAGCTGTCTATGAGATACACCTCTCCCACCTCTTAAAGTACTTTTCGGTTTAATTCCGATTTCTCAGCTCGATGAGTAAACTTAAGTGAGGTTCTTGAAAACTTTCAAGTAAAATAAAAAAAAATTTTAAGGCAGATAAACTCAGAGAAATATGCCATGCTAAATTTTACAAAGAATTTGAGAAGGAATTTGAATGTTTTAGCAGTAAAAGCAGGGATATTATTAATCAAAAGCAAATAAATAATGCTAAATTGAATGAAGATAACCGAACATTAAAATCAAATGTTTCACTACAACATGTTAATACTCTAAAAAGGAATAGGAAAAAAATGAGGAAACGGAAAAGTTTGGATATTTTATGAGCCTTAAAAATTTTTTCCCTTTGTTAGGTAATAATTCTTCAACTATCAAATGGATTAGCCCACCCAGTCTAATTAACACTAGATTTGATTTAAAAATTAATAGTGCTGTGAGACATGGAAATCGTTGGTTTATGAGTGAATATGGAAACAGGTAGAAAGGAAATTTTGTTCAGTAAGGAAATTTGCCAAGTTTCTTTTACTTGTCCAATAGAAGAAACTTTCAAATAAAAAATTGGACAAAGCCATTTTTTCTAAAATAAATTTTATCATATTAACTATATTTAAGTTATACTTTATTACAATTTGACAATTATACTGAAACTACTTTTGATTCAAATATGGTTTGTTATTTTATATAGTCGCTTAGTTAGAGGAATAGATGAAGGCAGTTTCGCCTTCCAATGATATAAAAAATACCTAAATGAAAGGAATACCTCCTCTCGGGTGGACATAACAGGGATAAGTTGTGTTGAGAAGAAATACCCTATCCGGTTTTGGGTCGAATATAGTTCGGGTTTCGTATTACATATTTCAGATACAGATTATAATAAAAGTCCTGATCAGGGGTGAGCGCAAGAGACAATCTCTAAAACGCAACGCAAGGCCAAAATTTAACGCAAGACGCATTGCGCTCTCTCCTATCTAGGATAACCCAACTTATCCCTTAGATGTACATAAATGAAATTACTAGTTAAAGGACTGAAACAAGTTAAAAATCTCGTTTATCAACCCGCAAATTTTTTAAATACCCATTTTAAATCTCAATCTATTCTTATTATCCTACTAATTTATACTTTAAGGATGTCCATTTTACTAAAAAACAAAAAGATTTTTATTACAATTTCCTCCCCTCTTCGATATCCTTTCCTTCATATATTCATACAATCTCTGAACCATTTTACGGCACTGATTTTACTGTTGGTGGATTTCCTGGAAATGAAATTTTCTTTTATGAAATGGCTTCAAATTACAATGAAGAGGGTGTAATGATACAATCTTTTAATTTAAATAATGGACAAAAAATGAAAAAATTGATTTATGCTGAAAATGTGAGGAATTATTTAATATTTTTGTCAAAAATGAATATTTAAGACTTGAAACTTTTCATAAAATGAGTAATTTTAGCCTCTTACCTCCCATAAAAACCCCGGGTTTAAAGGAATTAAACAGAAATATTTAGTAATAGCTAATGGACCAACATAAAGTTACAAAATTAACGCATAATTCCGTGATCGAAGGTCCCAAAAAACAATCAAGATCTGAGAACAACCATTGGTTCCAAAAATAAATGAAAAGTACAAAGAGTACTTTTAAATATTAAAAAATATTTCGAGGATCTAATATAAATAAGCCCATTCAAAACACCTATTGAAAAATAGAAGCCCCCTTTCAAAATAAGGCCTTAATGTGATAATTTAAGTTATCTCAAAACTTTATTTTTTGACCTAAAAAATATATTTGGCGAGACAAATTCAAATTTTAATTTTTAAAAACAGATTCCTCTATACGGCAACATATCACCAAACCAGAAAACAAAAGAATATTCCTCAATAGATTTTGAATTTGATCAATTACCTTCTCCAAACTCTTCTCAAAATTCTTTACAAAATAGTTCTTCAATTCTTTGGGTATTATATCGCCCCTTCTCCTCCTCAACAACCCTCTCAGTACTTAAATTGTCTCCTCAAACATTGGAAGACTTGGAACACTGGGAATTCAAAGAAATTAATCCGGCAGAAATGCTAAACGCTTTTGTGGCACGTGGAGTGTTATACAAGCTTATTGCTGAAGAGGGGAGCACTAACAAGAAAATTCAATTAAATATAGTGCCTATATTTGATTTTAAATTGAACAAATATTTAATTCATTCGAATCCGTTGAAATTCAAAAATGGAGGCTGTTGGGAAATTAATAAAAATTCGGATATTTCTAATGTTCAATATGACTCGGTTATTTTTCCTTTAATTTTTAAATTTAATTTAATTCATTTTTAGTTATCCGATTCAATTAGTGTTACTCAAAATGGCAAAATTTATTTGATAAAATTTTATAAAAATTAAGAGAGGGAATGAAAACAAATAAAATTTAATTCCTCTCATTTTCCATACGCAAGTTTTGTCCGTAAGTTAAACAAGTTGTTCCGCAAGTCAAACAACCGTATTTCCTCAAACATAGCACCATGTGGTTATTTTTTCGATCGACCTCTACATAGGGGGGGGGGTATTTTAGCGGGTGGGGCTATTTTAGAAAAATACGGCATGTAAGACCTCACCGCCGTTTCGTCTTTCGCTTTTAAAAATTTGTTTCGACACACCGCTTGAATATACACAGTACTAAATATACCTCTAATACATCAAGGGTGTATTTTATGAGGATGTTTGACTTATTAATTTTTTAAATTTATATTTATTTTGAATAAAAATTAAATGTTCTTTAAATAAATTAAAAACTATCTGAAGGGGACTGAAGAGGGCCATTCCATTTTCCAATCATCCTCGGAGGGGCCATTCTATTAGAGAGGGTCATTCAACTGGAGGGCTCTTCTATTATGTATGTAGAGGAAAATACGGTATATCCAAAAGAAAATTTGTTTTTTCAAATCTAACAAAATCATCAAGGTCCATTCATTTTCATCAAGTCATAGCAAAGTGCAATAAATTTAATTTTTTAATTAAATTAATTTTGGGGCAGAAATATGTAAATAAAATATTTATTTATGGCAGAATTTTAATTCTAATTTTTAGCGTGCAGGTTCATTTTCTTTCACTGATATGGTTCATTTTACTAAACTTTGGATTATTTTTAAGGGAAAAAAGAGATTTTAAGCCAGGCTTAGCAAAAAGTTTTTTGGTTCAAAAAAGGAGAATTCTCTCTTTTTTAGCAATAATTTTGAAAATAAAAAAAATTGTTGATGATTTAATGCAAATAAACTTAAGCTTTCTGGTTCAATATCAACCTTACACAATAACCAAACTAAGTTTCTTGGCCATATAAATATTCCAGCCATTTCCAGCAATCAACATAAAATACAGTCATACCTCACTTTAACAGATACCCAATACTAGTTACACCCCCGATACTAGTTACACCCCAATTTAAGCCTGTCTACTGAATTTGAGTAAGCCACTATCTTGGTGAAGCTGCTTAAGCGATACTCCATTATTTAAGATGAACCTCATTATCATTGCTTGAAAATTTCAGAATTGCTCGTACTTCGTACGTGCTTTTCTTAGCTTCGTTCTTCGTACTGCCATATTTTTTTGCTTGTACTCGTTTTAGTACACAAGTACGAGTACGAATTTTGGCACGAGCTTCCAAGCACCTCATTATATTATACTATTTTTGGCACAAAAGGTCCATCTTATAGTGAGGTCAGACTGTATAAAATCAAATTTCGTTTGTATTTCCATTTTTTCCCTCTCACCAAAATTTCCCGACTTATAACGTTTATTAAGATATTGCTCAGTTGTTGCGTTTTTAGCAGTTTGGTGATTTTGGGACTATCTCTACGTATGAAACAGTTGATGATCCCGAAGTGCGATCCTCAACATTTGCAACAACTAACGTTAGATGTTTGTCTGTAAATACCTTTATCGGTAATACCGAAAAATACCGCGGTAACGCTAGTAAATACGTCTAAAATTTGGAATTTTTGTGAGAAAGGAGAAAAAAGGGAAATACATGCCAGGGATCTAGCCGACATAAAAATAATTCACGATTTTTGGGAATAAGGACGGCTAGATCCCTGATAGACTCAAAAATTTAACCAAAATAATTTCAAAATATTTATTAAATGGCTTATTTAAACATTTTTCTTCTTCTATTTTTATTTTCAAATTTTTGCTTATTATTTCAATTAACATATGGAAATAATGTTTCGGAGAGTTTGGGAACTTGTCTTGATAAAAATGCACCTGGGTGTAACACTAAAGATAAAAGATGCTGTGCTAAATTGGATTGTAAAACTACAGGAAGTGGCGGAACCAATTGTAGACCTTATGGCTGTGTTAAGAATGAAGGTGACTCTTGCGATTGGATACCAGAATCTAAAAAATGCTGTTCTGGCCTATATTGCTCTTTCACAGAAAAAAAATGTTATAGTTGCCTTAAAGAACTTGATCCTTGTGGTGGTGATTTGAAAAATTTTGAATGTTGTGATGAGAAGAATTTCTACTGTGATGGAGGTCACTGCACTAAGCGTAGTAAAGGAGATAAAAATTGAAAATTTGAAACTCGCTGGTGGCGATGGCACATTAAATTTGAAATGATATGATGTTAAAATGTTAACGATTTCTGTCAATTTCCCGGGTACATCCCAAGTACCGCAAAGCAGTAATTTTATTCAAAATTGTCGAATCCGAGACACCCTGGTAGGGTTTGATTTGACTCGTCGAGGCCCATAGAACCATACGAGGGCTTCCCTGATTCGACAATTTTGAACGAACTTAGGTATGTCTTTGCGGTACATTGGCATGATCCCCAATTTCCTTTTCCTTTTTTTAAATTCTATAAAAAAACTTTTTTCTCGCTTTGTATCTTTATACATAGTTGTGTTGGATAAATAATCAAATTTCTTTGTAATAACCCTTTTTTTGTGCAGAATTCAGAAATAATTAAGGCATCAATCACTGCTGATTATATCAAATAAAAAATTTTTTTGATAATAATAAAAAATCTATGAGATTGTTAGATATATTGGTCTAGTGATGTACCGGTACTTTATTAATATCCCGCCCCCCACACCTATTTGAGTCTCAGATTATTTTTCCCTTTTTTTACTGTCAATCATTTATTCCTCTCCTTTTCTAATGCCAATCATTTTCTTCCCTCGAATATTATAAGTAAAAGGCAAGTTAGAAACTTAAGATATTTGAGGAGTACATCCCTGGCCCAAAGCCATAACCTTCTGTAATATTTTTGGCCCTTGTCATTTTTGTTATTAATCTCTTTAGCTCGATGAAAGGAATCGTTTAATATTAATTTTTGTAAGGTTCGGAAACTTTGAAGCAAGTTATGGCTTTGCGCCTTTATGGCCGCGCGCCCTTCTGGGTGTCTTATATTTGAGGGAAGAAAATGATTGGCATTAAAAAAGGAGGAAAAATAAATGATTGGCAGGTAAAAAGCAAAATTAATTCGAGACTCAAATAGGGGTGGGGGCGGGATATTAATAAAGAACCGATGTACCTAGTTAGTTATCATTATCTATTTTTTAGATAATTTTAAAATGAATAGAATTTAAAATACACCTCATTATAGAGTACACTCGATATAAGATAAAACCCCTATCTTTTTAAATTTGGTTGATCATTGAGTGGGGGAGGATATCAAACGATACCCTCTATTTAATATACACCTCATTAAGAGATAAAAATTTTTAGCCCCATGGGTTTACCTTAAATGAGCTCTGACTACCGTATATACTCTATTAATTACCCTCCCTCAAATAAGTTACTCTCCTTACCTAATAAGTTACCCTCATTACCCTCCAAATAAGTTACCAAATAAGTTATTACCCTCCCCAATAGACCTTTATTAGTTACCCCTTCCAGCGAAAGGTTAAAAAATAACTACTCCCTTAAAACTACATTGTTATAATTAGCCTTTCTAAAATAATCTCTATTAATTACCCCGCCTCTATCGATTACCCTCTCCAGAGAGAGGTTGAAACAATAATTACCCAGGGTAATTAATAGAGTATATACGGTATATTTCATTTTTCAAATTTAAATTTATTTTGAATAAAAATTTAAAATTTTCTTTGTATAAAATTGTGAAAGCTATACAAGTATATAAGTATATTATAAATATTTCCCCTTTTGTGCCCTTTTTGTGCGGCGCATAGATCAATAGTATATTTTAGCATTTTCATGGATTGAATGGATATTTATTTTTTCAATTCTGCTTTCAACTGAAGAATGCTTTTTTTTATTTAAAAAAATTTTCTGCTTGTTTTAATTGTTGTGTTATACTATTAAAAAATTGAGGAATGCATTGAGGAATCAGATCTGTATTTCCGGTCTGAAAAAAATTTGGGCATCCGGAACTTTTCGATTTAGATATCCGATACCAGATATCCGAAGATTTCCCTAGTCCATTAAACCTGCTTTATACCTGCCTATATGTAGTTTCCTCTTACACCGGTACAAGTACAAATTTTTGTATGAGCTTCCAACTATTACCTATATTTTTCAAAAATTTATGTCAAGATTGGCATTTAATCATTAAATATTTTTTTCTTTTTTTATTCTCAATGTTCATTTAAAATTTTTAAATAATTTTTTAAAATTTAAACATTTACCAAACATAAAAATGTTCGTGACTATTTATTCAGGTTTTTACATTAGAGTACATTTTTACTTGAGAAAATATTTATTTTTTATTTTTATTTATTTGTCTGGTCATCCAAAAATAAAAATAATTTTTCTTCCCTCTTCCCTTCGTTTTCTATTCAAATTTTGACCAACAAAAGAAAATTATTGGTTTAACTAAAATTTCTCACATTTTGAAAAATCAATTTATATTTATTTCATTAACTGACCAAAACTAGTTTTTATTATGTAATTTTATTTAAAAAAGATTATTTTTTTAAAAAAATCGCCTTATTTTTACATATCTTTTTTATACATATAATCTGGAATTTTATTAAATAAACATCAAATAATATTATTATTTTTTCCGGAAATTATATTTAGAGACCGACATTTAGAATCAGAATTAATATTCACTTTCTATCACTGACCATTGTAGTTTCCGGAAATATCATTTAAACTTAAGTTTACGGAAAATATTATTTAAATATAGAAGTTTCCGGAAAATACATATTACTTAAAAATAGAAGTTTCCGGAATATTATTTAAATATAGAAGCTTCCGGAAATATTACTCAAAAATAGAAGTTTCCGGAAATATATAAAATATTTTCCGGAAATATTACTTAAAAATAGAAGTTTCCGGAAATATTATTTTCCGGAAATATTACTTTCCGGAAATATCATTTAAAAATAGAAGTTTCCGGAAAATATTTTCCGGAAAGTAATATTTCCGGAAAATAATATTTCCGG